ACGAGCTGGACTTTCGGCTACGCCCAGCATGCCAAGGGAGCGCTCGCTCAACGCATTGGGCCAGGTTGCGGGCAGCTCCAACACGGACCTCGCTGACGGCCAGGATGATGGCGAGGAAGAATGCCAGGGCACTGGCCAGAAGGATGACCCGCACAAGAAAGAATTGAACCCCGATCAGCCGGTAGACTTGGGTTCCAAGCGCCGAGGCGCCTGACCATTCTCGGCCACGCGTCAAGAGCACTCGCCCTGAGGAGTTGCCCCTCGAAGTGGGCGAGCCGCTCGTGGAAAGGCGCCCCCGCGCGGGAGATCCACTGGGCCCGGGGTCGCGGACAAGGCTGCCGCCGTCTAGGGCAGCTCGGCACCCGTGCCGCAGCGAGCGGTTGCCGTTCGGTCTGGCGCAACGCAGTCGGCGCACCTGGCGCCTTTACGTCCTCCCGCGCACTAGTTATTGACAGGGATCTGGAGGACGAGGAGGAGTGGGATGCCGCCCGCAGCCGGCCGCGTCGAGCGACGGCCCGAGCCATTGCCGCAGCGGCGGTGTCCTGAAGATTACCTTTTGCCGCGTAACGGTGAAAGCCAGGCACAGTCAAACGATCAACCCTGTAACCGTGCGCGTTTCCACAAGGAGCGGACTGGTCCTGCTCCTCGTTCGGCTCGTCGTCCCAGTCTCTCGCGAAAAAGCAGACTTTGGCCCCGCCCGCCCAGCCTGGAGCGCGCGGGGTGCATTGGCCCCTGCTCGCCGACTTGGGCGGCCCCTTCCGCCAAGGAAGCCTTGCCGCCGGCCACAGGGCGAGGGCGGCGGAGCTGACCAGACTCACGGCCGAGATCGATGCCAACCAAGGTGGACGACACCGTCGCGCAATTCGGCGCGGTTGAGCAGAGCTCCGCGGAGCTCCTGGCGCGCCAGGGGTGAGGCGCTGCGGGGTGGCGTCGCCGCCGGCTGCGAGGGCGAGTGCGGCTGCGAGGCAGGGCCGGCGGCTGCGAGACGTGGCGTGGAGCCATTTTCAGGCCCCAAGAGCCCATCGCAAGCGGAAGGGAAAGAAGACATACCAAATTGATTGCTGAAGGTTTTGGAAGGATTTCGGCCTCTCGGGGGGGGGTCCTTGGGAGGCTCCGTGGCCACCTGGGTTCGTCTTGAGACGGTCGTGGCGCCTGTCGGAGGCATGTCGGAAGCTATATTTAAGAATATTTCGCTAACTTGTACGATATTGAGGCCATCTCTTGGGCTATCTGGAGCCTTCTTGGGGACATCTTGGGCCATCCTGGACGGTCTCACCCCTCGCGGCGCCCCCGGACAGACCCACGAAACGGGAGTCGTAAACCTGTCCCCGAAGGGGAAGAAGGAGCTTGGAAGCATCAATCGCCTAAATCACCTACGCCAAACAGGGCTGGTGGGACTATCCGGCCCCCTCCCGTCCAGACCCAGGGGAGGGACTTCACCCAGGTCAGCCCCTTCAACCGCCCCTCGGTCACAGCACGGGCGTGTGTGGCCCCGGGTTGCTCTTGGAAAGGTCAGACAATGCGAGGCGGTCTCCAAGGCAGCCACCAAGATTGCACGCGATGGTCCAGGATGGCCTGCACTAGACCTCCATCATATCTCCAGACCGCCACAAGACAGCCCGAGGTGGCCACGGAGCCACCCCAGGATAGCCGCGGGAGGCAAGTTAGCCTGGCGAAGGGCCCAGCCCTATGCAACTGCGTGTAGCGCAGGGCGTGGTCCTCTCCTCATATTCTACGCGCCGCGGGATAGCTGGAATCGGGGTCCTTGTGGGGCACGATCCGCGTGAGGGATGTGCCGACATGGGCGAGGGGACGCAAGCGGGCGCCCCCAGTGGTGCCGCAAGTGGATCTATCCATGGGGGCACGAAACTTGTGCGGGGTGCGCCAGAATCGGGAGGAGTAGGAGGAGGAGGAGGAGGAGGAGGAGGAGGAGGAGGAAAAGGAGGGGGCGGAGGAGTGAGCAGGAGTGGACGCGCGGCGCTGCGGATTCAAAACGAGGACCCAACACCATCATTTTCCTGCTTGCCATCGTTTCGTAAGCTTTCGATTTGGCCTGCAGAGGCTTCAGACGGGCCCAGGAAAGGCCCAAGACGAGCCCAGATGCCCCTTTATGAGGACCCAAACACGCCCCAAGAGGGTTTCAGGAGAACTCTCAATCGTGAAAACGCCGATGGACCATTCGTGCTTGACGCCGCGCTGGTCTCAAGACTGCCCCAGGAGAGCGTCTCAGGCTCCAGCCCCAACAGAGTCCGAAGAGTTTATCAAAAGGGCCCAAACGGAGGCCCAACATGTCCCCAATAACACTCCAAATGAGCTTCCAAATAGTCCCAATAGGTCCGCCGCAACCCTCTAAATCCGAGGCTCCGCCCAAGTAAGGCTCTTCATATGTGCATTATCCTTTTCTCAGCGGTTTGCCATGGGCGGCCGCCACCGCGCCAGATTGCCAGCCACATCCAGTCCACAGGCATGGGGGGAAGTGTTGCGGCATGGGGCAGCACGGCACGAAGGGGGTTGGAAGCGGAAGTGCGCTAAACCATCTCAGCCCAGAGGGGGGCAACGTGGCAATGGCGGGCCAGGTGATCTGGGAACGTCCTCCACAGATCTCAAAGCTGGATGGGAGGGGATATGGGGGGCGCATCGGGCTCTGATACGAGCCGCTTGCGTCAATCAGGCATCGAATTTCCGCAGGTTGCGCAGGCGAGTTTCGAGCGATTGTTGGCGGTCCCTCGGGGTATGCAGGTTCGTGGGGGGCGACAGGTAAGTTGTGCTCTGCCAATGAAGGAATGGATATCTGATTGGGACAGCCATGAATGCCTGCAGGTCTGGAGGCGGGGGTTGCATACCAAGTCGTAGGCGATCCACGAGTGCTCTGTGAAATCTAATACGGCTTCGAAACTGCGCATAAGGATGATGGGACACCTGGGGAGCTGTTTTTGGAGCCGAGCGAGAAACGACTCCAACAGAAGGAAATTGGCGAACGACTCCCTCAGCGTGCGAATGATCGCACACATTGACGCAGGCTTTTTTGCGAGGAGCGCAGAATTTCTCCCGATAGGAGTTTTAGCGGGTCGTGGGCAGGTCGCGGACGGGTCGCAGGAGTGCCGCAAGCAGATCTTGGGATTTTGGGTGGGCCGCGTAGGGGGAGGGGGTCAGGGAGGCACACGTGGAGTGGGTCGTTGGCGATGCGCCGGCGGGGCGTTGGAGAGTCACAGAGAAATCGCGCACGCCTTAGCTTTGTCTACTCGCATAGAAAGGGAGGCGGGTCGTGGGGCGACGGCGACAAGAACAGGGACGACAGTTTTGAGATCGGTAGTTCATCTTGTCCGCGCGTCATGGAATGTGTTCCACCAGGCCCTCGGACCCCCGCACTCTTGCTCACCTCGGTCCTCCCACTCCCTCTCGGTCCTTAACTACCAGCTGCAAGCCTGACCCTGTCGGGTGGTCGGGCGGGCGGACCCTGACTCAAACGGACAAGTCGGGCGGGCGAACTGTCCTTCGAGGGGCCGGTTCTTGTCGGATGGGCCCTACATGCCCAAGCCGAAAGTGGTTCCACCAGTCATGTGGGGATTGTAAGGGGCTTGTCCCCCGCGTCCTCCCCAGGGAAGGGGACGGCCTTGCTCATCTTCTCTTGGGTGCAAGTGCAAGGGCTGTCCGGGCTCTGGGCAGCAAAGGCTGGAGTTGCGCCATGGGGCGGCCCGTCGCCCCTCTGCCCAGTGGGGCCCACACCGCAAGGTAGGACCCCACGGGTGGGTGGGAGGCGACGGGGGCTCCGTGGGGCCAGGGCACCTCCGTCGGGCCCAGCGGTCGGGCACACCCTTCGCACGCATCGTGGTCCCATAGGGAGCTCCACTTACGATCTCAATCGGCACGTCTGCATGCGGGCTGGCACCAATCTCGGCGCACCCTTCGCGAGGATCGTGGCCCCATAGGGAGTGGCCCCGCCTATGATCTCAGTAAGTACGTGCGCATGCGCGCCCACGCCCATTTTGACATTCACACACATACACACCCACCCACCCACCCACCCACCCACGGACACACACACACACACACACACACACACACACACACACACACACACACACACACACACACACACACACACACACACACACACACACACACACACACACCTCACGCGGGTCGTGGCCTTATAGGAAGTTCCACCTCCAGTCTCAGTGTGCCCGTCCACATGTGAGCCCTCGCCCATTTCGGTACATCCTTCACGAGCATTTCCATAGGCAGCTACACCTACGGTAGTGAGCCCGTCCGCACGAGGACCGTGGTCCCATATTCAGCTCAACCTACGGTCTCAGTGCGCCTGTCCGCATGCGGTCCCACATCTATTTCGGCACACCACTTACGCAGATCGTGGTCCCACATGCAGGTACACCTACGGTCTCAGCGGGCCCCACGCCATTTTCGGCGCACCCCTCACGCGCATCGTGGATATATAGGGAGTTCTACCTGCTGTCTCAATGGGCCCGTCCGTTTGCGGCCCCAACGGCCATTTCGGCACACCACCCACGCGGATCGTGGCACCACAGGGATCTCCACCCGTGGTCTCAGTGTGCCCTCGCGCATGTGGCCCCCCGTCCATGTCGTCCATTCCCCAGTTTCCCTGGCCTCGTTGAGTTTCGCGGCGCGCAGTTCAAGAGGAGAGTGCAATATTCTGCGCTACACGCAGTGACACAGCGTTGGGCCCCTCGCTGGGCTAGGTGTGTGCCCGCGCCTACAAACGCATGCGCGCACATTGCCTTCGTGCGCGGTGTATGTGGATGGGTCGAACCAGCTTCAGGTGATCCGAGGATGTATCGCCCCTGACGCGTTTTCATGTTTGGGAGGTCGACACGTTGCAGGGAGTTGGTGAACTAGCGGATCGGGAGAGTTCTTGGCCACAGCGGGTGGTTCACGATCGCACCAAGCTTTCTTTGCAACAGGAGCTTATTCAGGGGAGTGTGGAGTCAGCAATGGGTGGTTGGGGGCTCCCCGCGCGCCAGTGGCTGGTGGCCTGCTGCGTGGCGAGATGCGCACTCGAGCAGCCTTCGACTCGCCCTTCCCGCTGCTGGACGCCGCGCCATAGCTTCTCCAAGGGGGGGGGGCGCCTGCGAAAAAAGGGCATCCAGTCCGCCCTCCTTGCGCTGCTGGGGCTGGCCCCTGATCTGGTCAGTAGAATCCGCTCCAGGTTAGCTGCCTGGACCAAAAGTTGTGGCTCGTCCTCCCCCCTCCATCTTGATGGCGCCTTGGCTGAATTGAGCTCCATTGGTGATGGCGCACAAGGCTGCGACGGGATTTACGACGAATGGTGTTGTTGTTGAAAGTCTGCGAAGTATGTCAGGAATCAAACCACTCCGTGGCATGGGGCACGCGGGAAAGAGAGAGAGAGATATAGAGAGGGAGCGAGAGGGAAAGAGAGAGAGAGAGAGAACTAGAGAGAGAGAGAGAGAATAGAGAGAGAGAGAGAGCGAAAGCGAGAGTGAGAGAGAGAGAGATACAAAAAAAACAGAGAAAAAGAGAGAGAGATAGAGAGAGAAAGAGACAGAGAGAGGAAAAGGCAGAGAGAGATAGAGAGAGAGACAGAGAGAGGAAAAGGCAAAGGCAAAGGCAGAGGGATAGGCAGAGGCAGAGGGAGAGGCAGAGGGAGAGGCAGAAGGAGAACGAGAAAGAGAGAGAGCGAGAGAGAGATTTTGAGAGAGAGGGATAGATTTACAACAGAGAGAGAGAGAGAGAGAGTACAGTATCGCAACGGGTAGGCGAGCCGAAGTTCGTCAGCCCCCGCGGCTACGATCGCCGAGCGGGCCAGCCTCTTCGGGCGGGAGGTGCCATCCCGGGTGACCTCCCCCCAGGCGCGGGCCAGCTCCGGGCGGGAGGTGCCGTCCGTGTGGTGGGTTGACCTCTCACCAGGCGCGGTCCCGGGGGCCCCGTATGGAAAAAAAGGCGGGTGGCGGCGAAGAACAGTGAAAGGCGCCGCCTTGGGGCGTCCCCCGCAACGGTTCGAGAAACGCGGACGACGGTACAGGTGCCAAGTGTGCTCGTGGCCCAATAGGAGAGCAGGCAGGGCTAGCACTGGCGCGCCGCCCGCTGAGCGCTTGGAGGTTGCCAGGAAGAGATGCCCCCATAGCGACAGCGCGCCGGAAGGTCTGCTGCAGGCCGCTCCTGGCCTCCTGCGCCCGGTGAAACCTGTCGATCAGCGTGGCGGATTGTGCATGTAGTTGGTGGAGGGAGGGCGCTAGCTGGTTGGCACGGTGTTGGAGCGCCTGCACGCTGGCGGTGAGGGTGTTCTCGCGGTCCCTGTGTTGCCGGCTGTTCGCCGCCGTGAAGTGTTGCATGAAGGCTTGCCTGCGGTCCGTGCGCTGGTCGGTTCCATCGGCCTGGTGGCCGTCAGTCCGCGGCTGCTGGTCGCCCTTGTCCGAACCCTGGTGGGCCGACTGCCTTGGGGCTTTGGGCGTGATTTGCGGCCACTGCGCTCTGACTCGCCTGGTCTTTGGCGGGCTCGGCGCTAGCCGGTGCAACAGGGTGGTCAACAGCAGTTTTCGTCGTTTTGGCTTGGGGGGTGTCTGCGAGTAACCTGGATTGGTTATTCAGAGCCCTCGGTTCCCCGCTTCGGGCAAAACGATAACGCCCTCGGCCCCCTGGATGCGTTATTTCGGCACCCTGAGGGTGAGCCTGGGGGGCTGAGCGTGGGCCTAGGGGGCTGAAGGCCAGGGTGCCGAGGGTGAGCAAGAGCTGAGGGCGAGGTGGCTCCCTCCTCGGGCTCTCGGCCGTCAAGGCGCATCTCCCCCCCTGGTCTCCTCGGAATATTTTCGGGCCTCGTCAGGTTGCCCTTTTGGCCCCATCGTTGGGCCAGACAGCTTTCCTTCCTCCGCCCCCGTGACCGTTCTGGCCCAAGAGGGCCCAGGAACGCCCAGTTTTTTTAACCGAGGCTTCCGCTCCGCAGTGCCCCCCCCTGTCAGGGATCCGACAGAGGTGCTTCCGAAGAAGGTCCAGCGCCCGTGGCTCTTGACGGACGTCGAGGAGTTCAGGGTGGTGGCCTTCAGCGAGCCCCGCAGAGAACCAGTGTCAGCACCGCGGGCCTCAGGAGTCGCCTCCACGACACAGGTGTCGACGCAGGAGTCGCCTCCGCGACGCAGGAGACGAGGACGGGGAGCTCAGGCACCCGCCCCTGCCTGCCATGAGCCTGCGAAGCTCAAAGAGGTTGAGGCCCCGCACACAGACAAGGACTGGATGAGGCGGTTCGAGCACAGGACAGCGCGGCCAAGCGGACGAATCAGCACTGCATCATCGCGTCCTCAGGGGAGCCCCGCCCTAAGACGCCAGACCTGTCAGCGCGGGATGTTACCGAGCGCCGCTGGGAGACAAACGCTCAGGTCTGGCGCGCGGAACGGGGCCGCATCAGGCCGCGTTAATTCATGTAGCTGCCTGATCAGACCCGTTATGCGGGGTTGCCATCGGGACAGGCGCTTTGGGATCAGACTTATCATTCGTCTGAGCCGCCCGTCATGAAAAAAACCTAGAGATCGGGTCACCCCACCAGACCACCACCCTAACAGACTTACCAGACCTACCAGACCCACCTTGCCAGGCAGCTCACCCTGAGGCAGCTCGCCCTACCAGACCTACCAGACAGCTCAGGTGAGCGCGGTATGACCCTACGCGGCAACGCACCTTGACAGACAGCCTAGGTCTGGTGCGCTACCAGGCAGCCCACCCGACCTGACAGCTTTCCATTAACGTTAGTTCGCCGTCTGCGCGTCTCCAGAACGGCGCGCTGGAATCTAGTTCGTCGTTCTGGTGCCCCGAAAGGCCGCCAAAACGGCGAACTAGACTATAGTTCGTCATTCTGGTGCCCCGATTGCGCCCACGAAGCGGCGAACTAGATTCCTCAGGAATCCTTCGGGGTCCCTGCGGTTTCCCCAAACATTCCGAAGGAATCCTTCGGAACTCCGACTAGACAGCTCAGGTCACCCAACCAGACCAAGACCCTACCAGACCTACCGGACCTACCAGACCTACCAGACCCACCTGGCCAAACAGCTCACCCAGGGGCATCTCGCCCTACCAGAACTACCAGACAGCTCAACTGAGCGCGGTATGACCCTACGCGGCAGCGCACCTTACCAGACAGTTTAGGGTAGGTGCACTACCAGGTAGCTCATCCTACCAGACAGCTTCCCTTTTAACGTTAGCTCGCCGCTTGCGTGTCCCCAGAACGGCGCGCTATAATCTAATTCGTCGTTCTGGTGCCTCGAAAGGTCGTCGGAACGGCGAACTAGAATCTAGTTCGTAACTCTGGTGCCCCGAGTGCGCCCACATATTGTATTCCTCAGGAATCCCTCGGAATTCCTGTGGTTCCCCCCCCCAGAATTCCGAAGGAATCCTTCAGAACTCCGACCAAACAGTTCAGGTCACCCTACCAGACCACAACCCTACCATACCTACCTTACCAGACAGCTCACCTTGAGGCAGCTCACCCTACCAAACCTACCAGACAGCTCAGGTGAGCGAGGTATGACCCTACGCGGCAGCCCACCTTACTGGACAGGTGAGGCCAGGCGCACTACCAGGCAGCTCGCCCTACCAGACAGCGTTCCATCAATCCGCATCCGCGGGGGTTCAAGCCAGCTGGGCTCCAGCAGGCCTCGCAGTCCAGTCGATTCATTCTAGTGGACGTGATTCCAGGGCCCGCAGCCTGCGCGCAAGTCAGTCCGTCTCGCAGCCTTTCTCCGCATCATATGCTGCAGGAGAAGCAGGGGCGCGAACGTTCGCGCTCCCGCGGGCGGGGGGGCCTTCAGCTGGAGTTGCAGTGGCTCCAGGTCCGCATCGGCGAGCTCGGCGAGCAGCTCGCGGCCTTCAGGCGCGCGAGCGCGCTCAGGCCACAGCCGCCGACGTCGACTTGGACACGCGCGCCTTCAGGGACAAGGTCGAGCGCTGCAGGCCGTGGCGGCTGAAGCGCGGAGCTTGGCCGCTCAGGCCGAGGGGGCGGCGCGGGGGACTCAGGAGGTCGTGAACGAGCAGTTGAGGGACGCGCGCGGCCCCGACTCAGACACACCAGGGTTCAAGGCGGCATGGCTGGTGCATGGGACCCCGTCTTCGTCGAGGTCGTTCCGCGGGGTGGAGCTTGAGGGCAGCGCAGTTCCAGCGGACTGCCCCGCGCTCCCTCATGGGGGGGCCGCCAGCGCCAGGCAAAAAATAATCATCGTCATCAGCCGACCTTGCCAGACAGATGAGGCATTGAGCTGCCATGCCTGACCGCCTGCCAGACAGCTCACCATCAGGCATATCGCCCTACCATACTTACCAGACAGCTTATCTACCCCACCAGACAGCCCACCCTACCAGACAACTCACCCTCAGGCCGCTCACCCTACCATACCTACCAGACAGCTCAGATGAACGAGGTATTACCCTACCCGGCAGCTCGCCCCACTATACAGCTGTCCTGCCTCAAGCGGGTTCAAGAGGGCGCGAGAGGGCACCCCATGGTTTTCCTTGCCAGGCCCTCGAGGGCTTCAGCTGCGCAGTGGTTTCGCCGAGGCTTCGGCCCCGCGGGGGGGTACATAATAATGATGATATATAACCAAATATGATGTAATACAAGAGAATAAGCCTTATAATGAAAGAGAAGAAAATAACATAGAAAAATGAAGGGTGGGAAAACACGTAACCTTCTACTCTAGTTAATTCTCTTTTCATTGCATGATGGTATTGTTGTTCCGTTGTTTTGTATTCTCCCAACGTAATTTGATGCTATCCTACCCTATTCTGTTTTATTCGGTTCTAGACCTCCCAACTCTCACGGCGGCCGCGCCCGCGCGCGGGCCCCGTTTTTTTTGTTTGGCGGTGCCGGGTGCTAAGATAACGCCGCGGTGCGGGGCGGGGGCGATACCATGGGATGGACCCCCCCCCCCTTGGGACAACCGAGAAAATATCAGGTTGTCACTGTGGATTCCAATAGGAATCGCATAGGGCGAGGAGGAATATATGTTTAGAAATGTTGGTTTCCAGCGTTTTGTGTTTGTTTTACCCTTCCCACGTTCTCTCTCTCTCTCTCTCTCTCTCTCCCTCTCT